GTGTATGTTTTCCACCTTGTGTACCTTGGGCAAGGTTGGAATTTCAACTGAGGGAATCTCAGGGATGCTGTGTGCAATGCTGTATGGATGAACATGATGGAATCTTCTGCACAATACTTTCGTCATATATACAGTTCTGCAGGCCTGCCATTGAACGAATAGCCAACTATACTTTTTATAGACTGAATCATGCTTGTGGCATGATGAAAACTGCCCCCAGAGCAGTTTTGCACAATTTGAAATTGGATTATATGTATTGAAGCTGTAATTGTTTAAAAAATTACACAGTTAAATAAGCAGTTAAATAAGCACAGTTAAAAAAATTGCATTCATTTCTGCTGTAATAAATGCAAATAGGGACAAAGTAAAGAAACTATATTTAAGCACAAGGTCTCAATAAGGTATAGAAGAGAGGAAAGACAGCCTGACCTTGTAAGTTGAAAACAATACTTGCCGAATTCTCTGGGTAATTCTTCTCTGTTACAAAATTCTAAGGATGGGTTTCTGTTCTGTGTTTGATTTGGTTCAAGCAGCCTCAATTAAAAAGAAAGTTGCTATATTAGAGAGGATACAGTGTTTAAAATTTGAAATTATACTATAATTCATTCCAGTGTCAACAGCCAATCATGATTTTAACAAAGGAGAACCCAAATAGATGCTGGATATGAAAAAATATTAATGTAGGTAGTACATTTTTAAGTAAAACAGTTTTTCTAGAAAAGATCTGCAATCTTTACAACAGATAGCTAAGCTTAAGACATGTAAGTCAAATATGGATCTTTTAATATTGAATGTAAATCCTATATTTTTAACAGAGACAAACTGAAACATATGCTGGCTGGAAAGAAAAAGGCTACATCATATAAAATATTTTTATATAAATTGCATTGTATTGTAAGCTAAAATATAATTTGTATAAATTGTATTGTAAGCTAATGCAGAAGGTAGAAAAAGCTAATGAAATTGATTACAATGGACTCAGAGTAACACTATTTTTGGAAAATCAAAAGTTTTTTACCTATCCAGTGGTGGGATTCAATTGGTTCGCACCACTTTGGCCGAACCAGTTGTTAAATTGCTGGCTGGTCCTTAACTGGTAGTTAAATTATTTGAATCCCACCACTATACCTATCCCTGAGCTCATACATGCACATGTGCCCATTTTCTTTATGAGTCTCTCAAAGATTCTGACATGCACATACTGCACAGAAAAATTACTCGGAGGGCTGAGTGACTAGCATCAGCAAGGATGTGCAGTCATGTGCACAGTTCAAAGGCCAGATATTTTACAGTCCTGTGATTTTATCTCTTATTGCACTGCTGCAATATATAAAAGCCAGCAGCAGGTACTCACAACACAGGGAGATACAACTCTGTTTATTTTATTGAGACAGAATAGATCTGATATGAATAGGAAGGAAATTGAGAGGTCTGCAGTCTATCAGCAAAGATGTACAAGCTCAGTTGCATACCAAACCTTAAATGCATTTCCTAGCCTGAATTATGGACCAGTTTTGTATCTCTGAGCTTCATTGTTCTCTGTCAAATGGAATTAAGTGTGTAAGAATGAAAATGTAGGTGGTTCTTTAAATAGCTAAAGAGATATATTTTGTCAGTTGCTTATCACATTCTTTGTGTTTCTCATCTGAAAAAAATGTATTCATTATTTCCTAAATCTAGAACTGATTTAGTTATTAGAATCTCTATGTTATAAAAATCCAGGATGTAGATATCAACTTATATATAGAAGCTGCATCAAAAAGTAGATTATTGAATGTCTTGATTTCTTCCTAAAATCTATCCTAGGTCTCAGGATTTTTTTAAAAATAGGGACTCTATAAAACTGAGGCCTGACAATTTCTGCAAGATCACTTAGCTCTTCTCCATTCAGAGAATGATGTAAATACATTCAATTGCTATGAAGGTTGTGGAAATTTAGTTTAAAGAAAAATTCCTTTCTTGGAGGCATAAATATATAAAGGGCTGGAAACAAGAGAGCTGGAGGCATAAATTAGCTAAGTATGAATGAGCAGATAGATACAGAACACTGGTATCACGGAAAGCAACATAAAAAAACGTGTAGGATGAATATTGCTTCTTTGATGTATTATTTAAATGACTGTTGACTAATTGTGTACTAGATGATAACTCATGCAATTCACAAAGTTAAAATACTTGTTGCTAAAAGCACTTGTCACCTAAAAATCTACATGCCTGAGGTTCAAGATCTAGCAAATCTAAATCACGCAGCACAGCTGTTCCCCCCCTCCACTGTTCTACTTACCTTGTCAAGCCTTCTTTTCCCGTGTGAAGCGCGCATTTGGCATACACTGCACATGCATGCTGTGCATGCTTTTGGTGCACACTGCATGTGCATGCACAGTATGCTTTTGGCGTGCACTGTGCATGCGCAGGCAGCGAACCAGTGCAATCCGCGGAGGATTTCACCACTGGCTGATAAGATAGTAATACTTAACAGCACACAGAACACTGTACTTGAATGTAAGAAGAGTAAATATTCAAGAACATAAATTAATCACTGAAATATAAGAAATTTAAGAAAAAAGATGTGTTCCTTGTCTGAAATTAGAAGGGGAAAGAAAGAATGAAGATGGACTGATACATGTAGGGAAATGAAAAAGACTGAAGTTGAATAAAAGCAATTTTTATCAAACTAAAAATGTCTTTTGGAAATGAACCAAAAGGGCTAAACAAGTTATATATACCACAACTTTGTCCTTCAGCAGCTTGTACGAATGTAAAAAAATGATGTTCACTGTACATTTATTTAATGCAGATTTATTTTTAAGATGTCTACAGTTTTGAATTATTGAGTTCTGCATGAGTATGGTTACTGAAAGTGATTAGTGGTTATGATGAAGTAAATTGTAAAAGTAAAAGGCATTCGAGCCAAAAGTATTGGTGTCTGTCAAGAGAGAATAAAAAGTTGAAAGTTATGCATAAATGATAAAAAAGTAGAACATATAGATTATATATAGACCTTGTTTAGTGATTGCAATCACTCAGTAAGTGATACAGTTGCTAAATTTGGTATGTTCACCCCAACACTGGGATTGAGGTTTGTATTTACATTCATTGGAGAGGAAGGGATTACAAGAGAGTAAGTAGGCACACAATAGGGAATGCACATCAAAAGGAATACCCTATCAAGGGCTCTTTCCCTAGTGAACTGCTTAGGAGGCAAACAAAAGCGTGAAATTGATTTAGGACAGTGATGGCAAATCTTTTAGAGACCGAGTGCCCAAACTGCAACCCAAAACCCACTTATTTATCACAAAGTGCCAACATGGCAATTTAACCTGAATACTGAGGTTTTACTACCTAAAATAATGATAAACAAGGCAGAGTTCAGCTAATTGTTCTAAGAAAAATGTAATAAATGCACTTTTATGCCCCTTCAATTTTTTTCTGCCTTTGAAATATTACGTTTAGTAACAAAAAAGATTTTTTTTTGTAATATTCCTCTTTCCCTCCCCTATTTCTGTTTCTCTCTCTTTCCCTCCCTGTTTCTCTTTCCGTCTCTTTCTCTCCCCACTTTCTTTCCTTCCCTATTTCTCTCTCTCCCCCGCCCGCCTCTGTTTCTCTCTTTCCCTCCCTTTTTCTCTCCCTGCCCCCTGGGGGGAGGAACCGCTGAACTGGTGCTAGGTGGTGGGAATCTGATGTATGTAGACCAATGAGCCCAGGAGCAGCGCGCCAAAGCTCAGCTGGCCACCGGGGAGGCGGGGCATCACAACTCAGGCAGCTCTTCAGGAAAAGCAACTGACATCCAGGAGGCCAGAACGAGCTGAGACGACACAGGGTTGCATTGTGGTTCCAAATCGCAATGGGCTTCAAGAGGAGGACAGGATCCCGTCTCCCGCATTGTGAAGCATGCAAGTGAAAAAGTTCACTCAATCAATTCCAACTTCACAAGATCTTTTTCTTTCACGAGGTTAGAATTGATTGAACTTTTTTTAATCCCACAAACTTTTGTTTCCCTGCAAACGACGGCGAGAAACGCAATGGAGAAACGTGATGGAGCTGGTCTGGGACGATAGCATGTGTGCCCACAGAGAGGGCTCTGCATGCCACCTCTGGCACGTGTGCCATAGGTTCGCTATCACAGATTCAGGATCTGGTAAGTTTCAGCCAGCAACTGTCACCCATGTGAGAGCTCTAATAAATTAATTAAGATCACAGACCTGAGTTTGTTTTATTTCTAATTGGCACTTTTTAGGGAGTGTTGCACTGCAGAAAAAAGCAGCTTAGGAAAAGTTTGCTTGTGTATTCTCTCTGCTCTGGGATAGATGAAAAATGGTCAGGCACAGGCACATAGAGTGTAATGGTGAACACAACTGAGAAAGCAATATTACATAGATCATACATACAGATATTAGTCACACAGTGACTTTTTCATCACCATAGCAACTGCAAATAGTCACTGTCCTAGGCAGTTGCTAAACAAGGACTACCTTGGTTGAATGTTAAAAATGGGGGAAATGGAGACATTTTAACATGTGCATATACTAATAGAATGGATATTAAGTGATATGTTGCAAGAACTAAACTTTGCCTCTGTCCCCAGCAAAACAAAACAAAATAAAACAAACAAAACAAAACAAAACAAAACAAAACAAAACAAAACAAAACAAAACACAGCTATGCTTGGGAATATTCTATGGAAGTCAGTTGGATATGTCAGAAAAACATAAAAATTCAGTTGAATGGCAATTGGGTATTTAAGAAGTGCATGTTAAAACAAGAATACACAGTGGTTCTATTGACTTACTATTTTTTAAACGTTCAGGCTTGCAATGTCTTACTCCTTTTCTGTGCTTTGCATTCTGTTGCTTAGCCCAAAAAAGAATAGTGTGATGGTTAAGTTTGTAATGTATGTACAACCTCATTACCTCTTTATCTACTTTAGTAAAGGTTAAGGAAATAACAAAAAAAAATGAAATTATCACAAAACACCACAAAACGGAAACTGAAGAAATGAGTTGGCTAAAGGGTATTTTTTTTATTCCAGCAAAAAATCCGTTCATCCAACTTGTTATCCCATAAACAATCTCAGTTCTTCTGAAGATTGCATTATAAATGAATGTTTTTCTGTTAATAGTCTACCATTTTTGAAGCTATCCTAAATGAATCAGCATATTTGCATTCAACTTTCATTCCACATGTTATTTTCATCGCACTGCAATAAAACAGAGAATTACATTTATCTTTCAAAATATATAATTCTAGATTTGGCAAAATCATTTTCGATATCAACAGTTTCAACAGAACAATTTGTTGAAATACTTCAGCAACGTATTTACAGCATATTATTTTATTCAACCAACCAACTTGTTTGCTTATTCACAACCTTAATATTGATGCCAGGCTATGAAGGTAACATTCCCTTGAGTCATGCTCATTTCCTGCCCAGTGTTTACATGGGCAAAACTCTGGCCATGGGTTTTCTTGACGTGTTTTGCATAGCCGTGTCATTATTTACTCAAGAAAAAAAGAATAGAGCTCTGTCTTAAGCAGAGATTTTTTTTTTTTAAAGTACATTCATTATTCCCAACTGAGTTGTCATTTGAGAACTTGAGACTCAAGGTTCTCAAATTCACTATTTTCACTTTGTTCAATGTGAAATCCTTTTTGAATATAGGGGATATAGAGAGTTTGGTTTCATTGGAAGATTCCAAAAGCTTTTTATTTTTGGTCAAGTTTCTTTTCCTTTTGAGTCAATAGAGACACTATTGAAAACTTTCTGTGTAACTCAAAAGTAACATTATACCAGTGCTTTAGACACTAATTATACTAGTATACCTCTTACCAACTCTCTTTTCCCCCTGGTTTTTGAATTATAAACAATGATCAAGCCTTTGAGGACATTAATAAAGCACTCTGTGAAGTTCATACATATCAAATTCTTGTGGTCCAAATGTGGCTTCTGGCAAAAGCTGAGCTCTATTGCTTTGTTGTACTCAGTCTTTATATTGTGTTCCAAAATGTAACTTACTTGACCACTAATGAAAGAATACATGTCCTTTAATTATCACAGTATTAGTTTCCTCTTGACCCAGAAAGATAAAACTTACTTTTTACATGCACATGTTGCTACAGAGTGATCTATATTTGTGCTTCCCCAGCACTTTGTATATTGGAATAGTAAGCAGGCATTTGGTTTAACAGATGTTTACAGTGGTAGAAATGTCATCAAACAAGATATATGTGATGAACACTTGCTTATAATATATCAATGTTTCACAAAGAATGCCAGGGAATATTTATTGTAACAGGCATGAAACTGATGTTATAGTTGCTATCACTTTAAAAAGTCCAATATTGACTCTATCAGAATTAGAAAAACAGGGCATTCTTTTGACAAGTCTAATTTAAAAGCTAGAGACTTCCCAGTGATGAAAACCTACAGAACAGAACGCCATCAAACCTGAAATTCAAACATTTGTGTCTGCTTCTTGGCTAACTTGGCTACTTCTTCTCTTATTGCTTTCACCAAGGCAGTTGTAGAAAGATTGGGGACAGGGTTGACTGAAGCATCATTTTCTATTATGCTTTGATGGGATCCAGCTGTAGCAGAGTGCAGAGCTTCTTCCAGACTTGGGTACAAATCTGCTGATTCACCATACTGAGGATGAAGCATCGAAAGACAGTTGTGCTGATAGGGTGGATGTGAATATGCTTCTATGTAGCCAGGGTGTGGAACCTACAGAAGATTTTAAGTAGAACGTGAACTCCTCTCACTTAAACAACAACACAGAACAGCTGCAGTGTCTACCTCATATAAATATATCACTTGGGAAAAGCTGTAAAATAATCAGTTCAATTACTCCAAAGGAAATGCCATTTTTGAGTGGAAATCATTGAATGGAATCATTTTCATTAGAAATCCATAAGCTCCTTGTCAAATCAATGGTTTTCCATTCCTCAGTAATCTGATGGGAACATAGTAGTATACTCTGAGCCATACCGAGAAAGGTACTAACTTCTCTAATTGGAATGAGACTTCTCTTTTCCTTGGACATGAAGGTACATGCCCCAGTAGCATTGCCCCACCTTCAAAACAGAAACAGTTTCAGTTTATTATCAACACATTGAATCCTAATTCACTAATTTAAAACAGAAATTATCTTTTCTGAAAATATGAGACTATCATATTACGTAAGATAATAAGGCTTTGAATTAGTTTGGAAGTAGTAGAATAGATATTCTGGATATTATTTGATTATTGTTAATTTTTAACATCTCTGCATGCTGTAGAGGCTGGGTTCAAGTAGAATCCAAAAACAAGACATTAAAATCTAGAGATTAACTTGATTGTTTTGCATGAGCCTTGGTGGCGCAGTGGTTAGAGTGCAGTACTGCAGGCTACTTCTGCTGACTGCCAGCTGCCTGCAATTTGGCAGTTCAAATCTCACCAGGCTCAAGGTTGACTCAACCTTCCAACCTTACGAGGTTGGTAAAAATGAGGACCCAAATTGTTGGGGGCAATATGCTGACTCTGTAAACCGTTTAGAGAGAGCTGTAACAAAGCACTGTAAAGCGGTATATAAATCTGAGTGCTATTGCTATTTTGTCTACATAAATTTTGTATAATAGTCCATGTCTACTCATTTAATAACCCTAAAGTTAAGATTGAGACTAATAGGTTATACCCCCCTTTCCTAATAATCTTACTAGTGGTCAATAGTTCCTATATATGACAATTTTTAAGAATATTTTATTGGAAAAATATTAATTTATTTACTTTTTCTCAAAAATTATAGAACATTATTGCCTTTCAAAGCAATAATTGATTGCTTCACTCAAATTGATACAATACACATAAAAGAGGACATAATATTTGTTTAAAGCCCAAGGCAAATTAGGCTTCTACTTGAGAGTCTGTAGATCTCTATCACCTTTTTCCTCAGAGCAACCAAAGCCTTTTAGGTGACTTGGAGAATAGTAGAAAGACAGATACATTATCTATAAAAAATAGTTTACATGCTTTTTTCAGATAAGGAAATTGCAGAAAGAGGATAATTGATAGAGCAAAAGATTTATTTTTCTATTCACATGATATAAAAAGTATGTAAGGAAATCTTCACACTAATTTGGAGAAAAAATATTGCATAGAATAGGACATACTGGACATGGATTATAAAATCCGGACAACCACTAGATCAGTGTTGGCGAACCTTTTCAGCACCAAGTGCCAAAACGAGAGAGTGCACACACGCAGGGGAGCACCAGAAATCAGAAAAACAGTTCCCCAGGGCGTGCCGGGAAGCTGAGTTTCCAGTTTCTGGAGTGCGCATGCAAGCCAATCACCTGGTCTTTCGGTTTCTGGTGTGCATGCGGACACAAAGACCAGCTGGCTTCTGGTTTCCAGAGCTCCCGTGCATGTGCACTGGAGAGCTGCTCTTCTGGTTTCCTGCACTCCTGCATGTGTGAAGACCGCATCAGAACCCGGAGGAGCAATGGGCGACAGCTGGTGTGTCCAGAGAGATAGCTCTGTGTGCCATCACTGCACTAGATGCTATACAGAAAATTCCATCTCTCTGATATGAACTAGTGGTCATCTTGGTATTTGCAGCAAAGATGTGGTAGCCATCTTTGCTGGCTAATATTAGAGCAGTTCACTTTTCTATCTCATATCCAAGTCAGAAAGCTTTGATTGCCACAATATATAATCTTTTTGTTAAAAGTTTGTATGTATATGATTTCTTTTCATTTTAAGCAAGGATTTCAATCAATTTTCATTTTTCAAAACATTTTTTTCAGCTTCAGAAATCTTTTCTAGCTATCTTCCTTTTCCATTTATAACTTATTGGAGAATTTAAAGCATTAATTTCATTATCTCCCTCAATAAACAGATTGGAAGCAGTGAATATGTAATAGTTCCTTCTCTATTCCAGAAATACTCCTGCTGATATCTGCTGATATCCTGCTGATATTTCTCTATTCCAGAAATACTCCTGCACAGTAATCATCCTCCTTAAATTTCGTAAAGAGAGGGCTACCAAGTCTGCTATTAAAAAAAACAAAAACCTGTCAAAGTTAATATTTATCTTTTTTCATTTATTATTTATTACTTCAATTTTGAGACCACCTGACTAGGGGGAGGGGGAGCTTACAAATAAAACCAGAAAATGTCAAGAGAAGAAAGCGAAGTAAAAAAAAAGCTCCCAAAAATAAGTAGCAAAAAGAAAACAAACAATGGAGTTCAATCACAATCCTAGCCCACAGTGGGAAAACAACAAGGTTTGATTGACAGAAAGTCAAAAGGGTATAACTAACAACTACAGCATATATGTATATACCGTATTTTTTGGAGTATAAAACGCACCTTTTTCCCTCCTAAAAGGGGGTGAAAATTTAGGTGCGTCTTATACACCGAATGTAGCCCCGCCCACCCCCTGGCCCCATCCTTTGCCTCTGCTTCTCAGCAGTTACCTCCTTGCAAGCAAACAGCAAGAAGAAACAGCTCCTTTCAGCTTCAGTACAGGCTAATTAGCACAAGTTGATTGGATAGGCCTCCCAATTCTCAGCTGATTTGCTCTCAGCTGTTTTGAGCAGGGCTCTGCTGTTTGCTGCAAAGAGGTAAATTGCTAGAGCAGATTTTTTTTTCCCCCATGTGCTAATCAATCTATGCTGAAAATGAAAATGAAAGTAAAGCAGGCTGTTTGCTGTTGGCTGCAATGAGGCAAAATTGCTCAGAGGCAGAGGCAGAGGGAGATTTCTTTTTCTTCTTTTCCTCACCAAAAAAGGTAGGTGCGTCTTATACTCCGGTGCGTCTTATACTTCGAAAAATACGGTATATGTCTGAAACTAGATGCATAATGTTCACAGAAGGTGTAACTATGCTTACAGCTGTTATCTGTCTGCCCATCCATTCATGAATGTAAAGACTAACTTTATTTAGTTTTTGAATATATGTTTTATTGGTGCATTTTTTCATTAAAAACATAAAAAAATTCATGTCTATCTGAACAGCGTGTTGTCTGGGCATAATTAATTTTAAATAAAGGTACAACAATAACCATAATCATACTTGTAATCTTAATAAATGTATCAATATTAATCATAAAATAGTAAAACAATTGGTTTATCCATCTTGCAATATTTTCAATACAGATTTTTGTTTTCTCTTTGACTTATTTTTAAATTCTAACCTCTGTTTTTGTTAGTTAACCATTGATAAAATATATTCCATGTTAAAAAGTATTCTGTTTCTTCTTTTTCTTTTATCTTAAGTGTCACTCTATCCATCTCAGCACATTCTAATATTTTTTTTATTACACTTTTATCTGTCGGAACCTTATCAGTTTTCCGTTGTTATGCAAACACCATCCTTGCTGCCGTTACTATAGTACATGCAAAATTAAATATGTAGTCCCTTTATTATACTGTTCTGGTAGTATCCCCAGCAGAAATAATTCTGGTTTCAAATCTATGAGTTGTTTTATCATTTTTTCTAACCACGTATGTCCAGTATTTTTTTGCCTTTGGGCATGTCCACCACATATGATAATATGAACCTGGTGTCTGATTACACTTCCAACATTTAGCTGATAAGTTTTCAAACATCTTAGCTAACCTCACTGGTGGTAAATGCCATATATAAAACATTTTGTATAGATTTTCTTTATAGGCCATTGATATTGTTAATTTACAGTTTCTATCCCACAATTTCTGCCATTCGTCTAATTCTATTGAGTGGCCAAAGTTTTTAGCCCATCTTATCATTGTTTCTTTCACTTGCTCTTTTTCCATTTTAATACTCAATAAGTAACTATAATTTTTTAAAATTAATTTTTCATCTGTCCCTAGTAATATCTGGTCTAGTTCTGTTGGTTCTTCATAGAAACCATGCAATCTTGCATATTTCTCATATCTTGATTGTATTTGCATGTATGGCTACCATGCTAAATCGATCCTTTGATTAATCAATTCTTGTTTAGATTTGAGTTCCCCTTTAACATTCAAAATTATTTTTATTTATTTATTAAATTATTATTTTATTTATTAAATTTTTTATACCGCCCTTCTCCCGAGAGACTCAGGGCGGTATGACACTAAAACACATATATACAAAAAATTTAAAAGCAATTTAAAAATATATTAAATAATTTGGCCCCAGTCTTATTAAAAAACTAAAACAATCATTTAAAATTCACGTTTAGGCCAGCCCAGCTTGTTGAAACAATAGGGTCTTGAGGGCACGGCGAAAGGCGCGTAGGTCAGGGATCATCCGTATCTCTGGGGGCAGTTCATTCCAGAGGGCAGGTGCCCCCAGAGAAAATGTCCTTATACCTTACATTTTTTTTCATATTAATCACATTCGGATGAATCAGTGCCTCCATCGTGGAGAGCCAGACTGGTATTTTTATATAGTGTCTTTAATTTTCCCCCGTACTAACAGTAGTGCATTTCTAACAGGGTGCCTTTGAAAATATCCATGTATTTTATTTTTCCCATACCATAAAAAGGCATGCCACCCAGTTGGAGATCATGTCCGTCCAAAGTTTATAGTCTTTTCTGTCTCAAGTTTACCCATTCTTTAACCCAGACAAGTGCAGAAGCCTGGTAGTATGGCTCCCAGTCTGGCAGCCCAAGGCCCCCTTTCAGTTTAGTATCTTGTAGCAGTTTCAATCTTATTCTTGCTTTTTTCCCTTGCCAAATATATTTTAGTATCATTTTGTTTAGTTCTTTAAAAAAATT